AATGGAGGCAAAAACCTGATAGGAGTGAATTTAAGAAAAGATGGGAAGACAGAAACTGGAAAACAGAGAGTAAATAACTTTTGTGAGTTTTGCTACAAAGGAGTATAAGAAATAGGGCATTAGCTGGTGAGGGAAGTGAGATTAAAAGAAGTTTTGTTTTGTCTTTTAAGACGGGAGAAAAAAAACAGATGTATGTATGCTGATGGGAATGATCCTATAGAGGTCAGAAACTTGAAAGATAAAGGAGAGAGAAGGTAGAATTGTTGAAGAGATGACCTTGAGTAAAGGAAAAATAATAAGGTTTAATGTGCAACTGAAATTACTGGTTTTAGATAGGAGCAGGGAAAGTTTATGGTAATAGATGAGAGGTAGAATATGTGGGTATAAATGAAGTTGTGATTTTGTACAATTTTTCTTTTTATTGCTTCCATTTTTCTCAGTGAAGTAGGAAGTAAGATCATCAGCCGGGAGTGAGGATGGAGCAAGGATGGGGTGCTCAGGGACAATCCTTAGATGGCCCCATGATCTCTGCTCCCTTGGTGTTATGCCTTGTATAGTTTCCTCCATTTAAGTGTGAGTAGAAATTGTAACCTGATTTCTAATCAACAGAATATGGCAAAGGGATGGAATGTCACTACTCTGATTAAGTTACACTGTATGGCAAAGGATGTGAGAAGTCACTCCTGTGTTTAAGTTCAATAAGACTTCATCTTGCTAACACACAACGGAGAGAGAAGAGATTTTCCTGTTGGCTTTGCAAGACGCAAACAGCCAAACTGTGAAATGCCTGTAGAGAGGGTCACACAGCAGGGAACTTGGGCAGCCTCTATATTCTGAGAGCTTCCTCTTGCCAACAGCCAATGAGAAGTTGGGGTCCTCAGTCATACAGCTGCAAAAAACTGGATGCTGCCATCAACCTACATGAACTTAAAATCGGATTAGACTCCAGTGAAGCCTCTAGATGAGAATACACCCCAGCCAGTACTTTGATTGCTGACTTGTGACTCTGAGCCGAGGACTCAGCTAACAGTGCCTTTGACTCTTGACTCAAAGAAACTATGAGATAATAAAGGTGTGCTGTTTAAGCCCATAAGTTTGTGGTAATCTTTTATACAGCAACAGAAAACTAATTAAAGGAAAGGAGACAAGAATTTATGAAACAGTCCTCTAAAGAGTAAAAAAGTAACTGGGCTTATGATTACCTGACAGAATTAAGGGTCCATTTGAGATCTGTGTTCATGAAATCAAAGTGGGACCAGTGAGTTCTATTTGTGTTTTTCTGTAACTATACCAAAAGTGCTATATATGAGTATGAGTTATCTATTTTCATTTGTTTTGTATATTTTGATATATAATTTCAAATTAGTACATAAATAAATATCTATAAAGCACATATTTCTGAAACTCTTTTTATTCTTTTTACTTTTCCTGAAATTTGAGAAGAATCCCAGGAGAGCTAACAATCAGGAATCTAAAATTAAGAATTTAATTATTGGCACCATTGACTGATTAACAAAACCATTTTGTTGAATCTTGAAGTGATTGAAAAATGTAGCATCGATAACTTAGAACTGATCAAATACAACTGATTCTGTTTTTTATCTTAAGTTTATAAACACATTGATTAAGACTCTAATTCTATTTGTATCTTTATATTTGCTTCTTAAAGTTCCACATGTAAAAAGTGTCAAACCTGCACTTTGCAATATGCAATGCATGCAAAAAAAAAAGTGTAAGTTGTGAAAGTATTAGCCCTAACCTTTCTTTCTTAATAGGAAAATAATAGCAATTTGATTTATAAGTTAGACAACAAGTAACTCAGTACTCTCACTAGGGAAGAAAATAACTATAGAGCATCTTAAGCTATCCTAAAAAGCATACAGACACTTTGTATAGAAATATTTTAGAGTTGAAAAAGCAGCAATATTAGTATCACAGAATCTTTTTTTAAAAATAAAACTCAAACAGTTTAAGCTGTTTTATGCTATATTATTTACCATCTTAAAGAATAATCTTTCTTTTTCATTATCACTTGAAAGAAATTTCAGAAAATATTAAATAAACATAACCTAACATTTATATGGTGAGTAGTACACTCTAGAATAGCACTGTTCTAAGAATAGTTTATGAATTTATTATCTGAATTTCACAGAAGGGGAAACTGAGGCCCAATTTACTCAGCAAGTGGCAGAACAAGGATTTGATTATAGGAAATTAGGCTCCAGTCTTGACTTTTGACCACCATTCTATAAAGCTTCTCATATGACAGTCCTTCAGTTTTCCAGGGGAAATTATTATAGACCCATAACACTGTAGTTACAGTCTGTCAGTCTGATCTGTGAAAACAGTCTGACCTGTGGAAACATGAGGGTAGGAAAGTAAAATCCAGTATGTACTGAAACATTATAGTCATTTTTAAAAAGAACAGAAAAGATTTTTAAACGTTGAAACTGCAGATAAAACTTACTCTTTGATGTATTTTCTGTGCTTTTTATTGTTGGGTTTTCTAAATGTTAATAGTCCCTTAGTTCCTTTTATTACATTAGTTTGTAACACAAACTATTTATTCTAAAGAAAACTCAATCATAACTCATTTAGCTATTATAGATGAAATAACACAAGCAGTCGTCTAGATTGCTTTATATTGGTTTATGAAAATTCACATGGAAAAAGTCTGCAGTTACTTTTAACAGCAGAGGATATCAGATTAGCTATAACACATAAACAATAATTTTAACACAAAACTGGAGACATATCTGCTAAATTGCTGGGTAAGAATAAAGTAAACTTATACCAGAAATGAACGTTATATTATTATAGGTTTAAGAGTCTATTTTAAGTATGGAGAGTTTAAGATGACCACATTAAAACCCATTTTTCTATCTTGGCTACTCTTACAGATCTAAGTCAATTTAGTGAAGCTGAATTAATTAGGACTATCCACAAGAAATAACTGTGAGCTATCTAAAGACTGAATAAACAGCAAAAACCAAATTATCTTCTGTCCTACAACATTAATAGAATCTATTGGGAAATACCGATAGGGAATGAAATAATTACACACTACTAATAACATAAAGATGAAAGATAACTACTATTCCTTCAATAAATTTAAGGATTTTGTTTTGTTCTTTTATACCTTGCCTCATGTTATCCAGGAGATATTATACTTCTTTGTAGAAGAACAGAAGAAATCAAAGTATAAATAAAACACATTTAACAAACATAGCTAGAACAGTGAACAGAGTATAAAACCACAAATGACTTATTATTTCAAATGAGAAAAATATAATTAGAAAAATATCCAAAGGTGGATGTAGTAACATATCTAGAGGGTAAAAATATTATATTGTTAGTAAATTTCAACAAGTAACCTTTTTAAGAAATCATTTTATAAAAATTCATGTTCACATAAAATAAAGAAAATACAAATCTAACTTCAAAGACAAAATTATTGAGATGGTTTTTCTCTCTAGATCCAGAATTTTTTACTTTTTACGTTGAGAAAAATCATTTGTTTTTATTACTGTTGTACTCATTTGTCTTGTTTTTATTTGGAAAAGAATGAAGTACAAGAGAAACATTAAAAACATAAAGTCAGTTGTTTTCACAATAGTTTTCTATATCATATAATTAAAGCTCATATAGGAGATAAGGTATGAGTGAAAATGTATATACACTTTTCAACTTCATGCATCAATACTACAAGCTTGGTTCTCACTTTATGTAGTACCATTACCTTCAAAGACAAGTGCTGGGTTTCATCACTAGAGATGTGTACTTTTTTAACCAATTTATTGGGGCTAAAATGTGAGCATTATAAAGTATTTTTCTTTGAAGGGAATACTACTGCATAAAATAAAAATCAAGCTCCTACTATAGAATAACATTCTAAATGTTAGTTTTGCTTTCAGTTATTTAAAATTTTTTCCTGAGGTTGCAAAGGTATTAGAATCCATAAATGAGCAAAATAATTCTGATAGCCTTATATTAGATCATATTCAAAAGCCACATTTAATATATTTAGCAAATATAGTTCAAAGTTAATAATTTATTAGTCAACTGTATGAAAAATATATTAAAAACATAAGCCCTTGTTTAATATTTAAATAATCCCATAAGGCCTTGTATTAGTAAAAAAGTGGAAATATTAAGGAAAATAACATTTCTCACCTAAATGAAGCTCAACTCAGACAAAATGAAAATGTGTTTAATCATTTTAATAAATATATTTTTCAACATTTGTCATGTTAAAGTACAGTAAGGCTCTGAATTACATAGAATATTTTAGTGATTTCCTTAAACGTGCCAAAAATAACTACATTTTTGAAGAATGTCCTACAAATATTCAGTACCAAAACAATCAAGTCAAATTAAGATATATTTCTAATTGCAAAGTTTGCCACTCCAGCAAAGAAAATGCTATTATTAAATTCTAAGAAAGTACCATTTCCTGAGTTGTTAAATAGCATTAAAATTATCACAAATACCAATTTCCAGTTACTTTTAGATTGCTAGGAATGCTTTTCATCAAAAGTTTAAAATTGTTACACAGTAAGGCATATCTGAAATAAAAAACAAAGAAAAATGCATTCACATTTAAAGATATACCTTTGCTCAGTAAGTCATCTTTATACATTTAATTTTTACATATATGATATTCTTAACTTATATACCAAGAATCCTAGGGAGAAATAATAAGGGAGATTATAAACACGAACTCAATAAATAACCCTCAAAGCTCATAAAGTCATAATTTTAGGGGGAAAATCCAAAATTCTAGCAGTCTACCATCTGAATATATTTTTGTTATCTAAAGCTAAAAATGCATATAAATTTTCAGGAATAATTGATATTTCTTTCTCAAGTTATTTGGAATCTGTTCATGGTGCACATATGTGAATGAACGAATACATCCTTAACCCACCAGTATCTTTTTCTCCAGTGTGCAGGCAATCACCCGTGAAAAGTATGGTGTAGATGACAGGATGATACTGTACCTGATTAGCTCTGGAGGTGGTCATGGGATCAGATGGAGAGGACTTGGTGGTAGTTGGGGAAGATGGCAATGTCTGGGAATAAAGCAGTTCAGGAGCAAATCAACCTTTATAAGCCTTAAACTGATTATTTAAATAAAACAAAATAAAATAAAATGTAATATAACGAGAACAAAATCCTATGAACAAATTTTTCTCCTATTCATTCAAATTTAATGGAATTTAAGATCAATTAAGTAACTAATGCATGTAAATATGCATGCATAAGCATGTAAAAATAAATTCATGACTTGAAATCATGATGGTGACTGATAAAAATTCACATGAGTATTAAAGGTATCCTGACCATATTCATGAATAGTAGTCTCTTTTCTTTCCCTCTTGTTTTCTTGGGGGAAAAGAGATCTCAAACAAAAATTCAAGAAATTTAATGAGTAAAACTGAAAGTCATTTTCCTATCAATGAATACAGTCGGGGGTTGAAAGAAGTGGTGAAATGAAGTTTACTTTCGCATAAAAGTATCCACCTACTTAATATGTTGAACATCACCAACAAGTTGATTCCACATGAATTTAGGGTTCCATACTTAAAAGCAATTAAATTTGCTGTTCTGAGTTCTTAATATCACATTATCTTCTAAAACATTAATTTTTAATAAATTTAGAGCCCGTCTGAAAATGTAAACATTAACCTCATATTAATAAACAAGTAACTAATAGCATTTTAACAAATTGCCATAATATTTTTTATCATTTGTGTTAAACACTAAAAATTTATATAGATAAGGGGTATAATATATTATAGCGTCATCAGTCTGTGTTGAAAATAGGTACAAAAATATTAGGAATCAAGTTATTGTTCATTTCATTTCTAAACACATATACAAACTATATATAAAATATGCCATATGAGACCATAATATACTTAAGATATTTTAAAAACTTCTCATGTCTAATAGAGTAACCTTAATGTGTGTGTAACATGTTAAGATGTTATCTTTTTAAAAAGGTATATTTTCACTCAGCAAATAGCATGGCTTAAGTAGCACCCTCAATCGATAATATTTCTTAATACATGAAATGGGGTAGTTTTATAGTACAGACAAAATTCTATATGGACATTATGTTTTATATTAATATATATCCATCAAAATTACTCACATATGAGCAAAAGCATAACTTTAAAGGTTCAGCAGTGTCAGGAAAAGCAGATGAAATTAATTAATACAGTCATATTTATGCATTTAATATTTCAAGAGTCCTAATTAGGATAGAATAAAGCATTTAAGAGTAAAAAAAGGATAAAAAATTCACAGGCTCCTGCTTAACTCACTGTTCTCAAGTAACAAAGTAAGACTGATTCTAATATCAGATCACATTTTAAACAGTCCACTCCTCTAGGGATTCTTGATTCTTAAGTTAAAACCTAAGATACTTTGAGGAAAACTAGACTTAATGTTGAGTCATACCAAGATTTTTGTTAAATCATACTTTAAAAGGGGAGAGGAGCTACATTCAGAAGTAAAACCTCACAAAAGAAGAAAAAAACCCTTCGAATCCTTTGTTTTCTGTTTTTGCTATTTGTAATAAATTCATTTTACAAAGTCATTTCTCCAGAGAGACTTTCATTTCCAGTCATTAATAATTGCCCTAATATTTTATTTTCCATGCAATACTATGCAGAGACATACACTATTGACTTTGGGCTACTCTTGTACTATGAACTGAAGAGTAAAGGTTTTATTTTCCCACCTCTGGTTACAGTTGTTACTGTACAGATTTCCTGGGGGTAGTTAACAAATATTTAAGAATATGTTCTTTACTAATCTCAGAGTGATTATGAGACTGCTGACTAAATAGATGTGAGATAAATCTAGAGGCCATCTATCCCAATATAGGTTAGAAGCCAAGTTCATTAACCTACAGAAGCATGAGGTATGTGTGTTGGGCTCTTCTATTTGCATCAGGATAAAATCAACTTGAAGTATCACAGGTGTTCATTATGACATCTATCTTGCCCTAGATATGAATTCTCTTGAAATATTGCAAAGAAATATGTGGAAAAAGTAGTAATATCAAGTGACTCAGAATTTGTAGTCACTAAGATTAATATTATCTTCTGTCAATTTATTCAGTATTTTTCTTTTTACTTGGCGTATATGTGAGGTATTGGGCATGTATTAATAATTGATAGAATTCATATTCATCAACATTGTCCTTAATAATTCTGATGCTGTTTCTTTCTCACAGAAATAAAAACAATAATTTTAAACTTCTGGAACAATATTAATATGTTTAAAAATCATTAAGGGTTTGGTTATTAAATATCATATTCTGATAAGTTAAGAGTTTAATGTTTTAAATAAAATGTGAAAATTAAATAAGTTTGGGCTTTAAGGGATAAGATTGTCAGAGTCTTTTGACACAGTCAATTGCATCTAAATATACTTTCTTGTTTATATTCCTAAAATAATAAACATGTAATGAAGTAAACAGGTGATGAGTTTTCTATTGATATTTATCCATTAGTCATATAGATACCCTTAACAGAAAAAGTCTCCTTGCTTTACAAATTTAACCTATAGCAGTAAAGAGAATCCAGCAAGTTTGCATTTCAGTTGATTTTTTAAATGCTGGTGGTAAAAACTGTTCTCATAAATAGATATGTGTAAATAAATATATTAACGTACTGCCTTTAGTTTAAAAGGTTCTATTAATTAGATTAAAAAACAGCTTTGATAGTTGTTCTCAACCACACAAATAGAACAGAAAAATTAGTAAGAAATACTTCAATGTACAATATGTTTGTTTCCCTAATATTTTATAAACATTTTTATTCCTATTTACTATGCAGACTAAAAGTTAAAGCGGTTTCAAGTTTAAAAAAATCATTTAGTAAAACTTCTGATATATATCTGGAAGACGTAACTAACTGAATATCCATATAGCAACAATATATTAAAATATGTTATAAATAACATTTATAAAGGATATATACTGCTAAAAACTTTTTTTATATTTATCTATTAGTGATTATGAAGGGCACAGGCATTTTTTAGCACAATTTTATCTTTCAAATGGAAAAGTATGATATTTTTATTTATATGACACAAATGTCTATTTAAGAATTCTGCTTTAAACGTTGAAGGCTGAATTACTTATTGCAGAAAAATTTGAAGTGGTTTATAATTTTAAAATAGTGGATCCTTTGGAATATAAAACAGTTTTTTAAAATTCAAGATTTAATAATAGTCATTTAATTAAATGTAGATTTCACTAGGCTCCTGGGAATAAGAACTAAAAAGTGATTACAAATTATGAAGTGCATTTTTGTTAACAAGTGACAGTTTTACTGGACCAGAGAATATTACTATAAATAAACTCCATAATAAATAAGCTTACCTCAAGCAAATCTACAATAATAGACTGTCAGGGTCTATTATATGTATAGTGAAAACAGCAACAAACAGCAAACTTCAATTTTAATTTGGAAGGTACTACTAGCTAACTGAGTAACATTACTTGAGTAATCGCCTTCCCAATCCTTTGTTTTCAGTTCTGTTAAATAAATCTGCATACTACTCTATAAAAAATAATAGATCAGCTATTTAAATATGTAATTGTTATCTGTGGTTTTTCATCCTGACAAGTATCCAGCATTCTCCCAATGTCTGAACTATCTGGAACCACTTAGCCCTAATATAAACTCATGTTGTCTAATTTCAAAAGGTCTTTTACAATTGATTCCTATTCCATAGCTTATATTCCTCCTAATTACTATTCTACACCTTTATCCTTCTCTTCAACCATTCAATCCCATGTATTTTATCTTCCTTTCAATTGATAGTTTTTATTACTTGAAAGAAATCATGATTTTCCAGAATGAGCTTCCTTATCTACTACAATTGGCCTCATTTCAACCTGTTCAGTTTTCCAAACCACTTTTTTCCCTATCTTCTCATTCTTTTCAATGTAGACAAAATTGTGATCTCCCGTTCAAACTTCCTACTCTTCAGGGGCTAGGACCTTAACACCCTAAACTATTATCTTTCCACCACTCCTGAGTCATTTTGTTCCCTTAATGATCTCATCTGTATTTGGCATCTCCAATTTCTCCACCTTTTCAAGCTCCTTTTTATTCTTTAACATTAGCCATTCGCTCTTTAGTAGCAGGGGTTATGTGAGTCTCTCTGATCTAACTTGTATTTTATTCCTTTTATATCCACAATTTCAAGTCAGCAGTTCCCACACTTCACACTTTTTTTTTTTTTTTTACCTAACCAGCCTCTTTACCTTTAGGAAATATTATTAACAAATAACAACTTTTCTCTCAACATAGACTTGAAACTAACTTTTAGAATCTCCTATGATTTCCTATTAAAAAAATAGTTATTCTCCAATTTTTCTTTGGGTATTTGATCCTTTTTAGCATCTTTCCTTATATTGTACTTTCCTCATTTTCTCCCTTTTATCTTTATGGTTAATAAGGAGCACTTACTACGAACCAGGTATAGATCCACTCAGTTAATACTCACAATATCCTTACAGAACAGATTACTATTACTTTTCCCATGTTATAGGTAAAGAAGTTGAGGTATACAGAAGTAAAACAGCTTGTCCAAATGTACACAACTGGTAAATTAAAGAGGCAGGATTTGAAACCTGGCAATCCTATATCAGATCCTATACCTAACCGCTACACTATAATGCTTCTGACTTAGTTAAAAAAAAAAAAAGTAACTGCTTCTTTATCTCTTTTTTTCTCTCCTACAATGAAGGTGTAAGTGAAATTATCACCTATACTGCAATTAAGGATCTATATTTTCAGTTTTAAATTCTCACCTATGCTTCTATCAAAGACTACTTCAAGGAAAAAACATACTATGTACAACTTATTCAACTTGCCTGAAACAAACAAAAATTTTATCTCACATAGATGCCTGACTAAAATTCACTAGTTGCTTCCTAGAATTCAACATTTTGCTAGGCTCAAAACCACATATAGTCATTTTAAAATTTTCCTCATTATTTTAGAACTGGACTCAAACCAGTCTCAAAGCCTCACAGATTTCACTT